GGCCCCGGGGGGGTGGGAAGTGCCCTGTGCCCACATCTCAGCATGCTCTGCAGTCTTTTTGAGTTTGCTGAACAACAGATTACAGCAATGCACAGGGCAGCCCTGATTAGATGACCCACACTGCCCATGGTCAGCCTGTTTTTCCCTGCAGCACAACATGTGGATTGCGAAAGGGGATGTATTCTGGAGTGGGGGGTTAGGGGGAAAGGAAGGAGGAGGAGGCAAGAAACTTTATAGGACCATGTTCTCTTCCGAGAAAAACCATGACATACAGATATTTGCTAACCTAGGAAAAACTTTCCAAGCAGTGATTTAACTCTGGTTGGTTCCAAGTTATTTTTCTCCTGGAGTGGCTATTTTTACCGTGGGAGAAAAAGCCTGAACATCTGTACACTCATGGTTTCTCCTGGGAGGGCAGTGACTCTCCCAGGAGAAACTGAATGTCTGTAAGAAGCCAGGAAGAGCAACTAAACAGGAAGAGCAACTAAGTGACCTTTAATATAGTAGCTGGAGACAATGGGAGAAGTAACCACCTAAGGCAACTGGCTTCAAAGCAAGGTTTATAAGAAGCTAAATTGTGTGGGCTTTGGGGTTTCCCTGTGACTCTGTTAAATGCAGTAGCTAAAAAAATGTTTGGTGGTAGCTGTGTCTGAGGCAGGAAAGCAAGAGAAACAGTGAACATAGCCCTGAGAGGGATCAGAGAGACGGAGCTCCTTGGTACCCAGGAATTGCTGCTAAGATAAGACTTGGAAACTATGAACCAGGAAATTGCCTATTGTTTTACTGTGGTCAGTGGACATAACTTTGTACATAAGTACAGCTACACCCAATAAATACATTACATGTATCACAGATGTATCTTCCTGTTGGGTTGTTTCCACTGAGGCTCCAAATATTGATTTGCCACTTGGGCCAAAGGAGCAACAGTGTCAAATATGGTAAGGTATCCTGACTTCTGCTTCAGAGGTAGATAAAGTGCCTTCAGAAATGGACATAGCTATTTATTCAAATACTAAGAGTGCTTGTTCAGTTTTGGTAACTGAGCATACATAATGAAGAGAAGTAGATACCAGCCAGGTACTATGTTGGCAGCAAGACAAAGGACAAGACTCCCTGATTAAGTTCTGAAAACTGAAAATCGAAAAAAATGCCAAACAGAGCAGCATGATGGTTTCTTTCTAACAAACGTTGCTTGAACTGTTTCCAATGAGATTCTAAATAATTCAGTAAGAAAGTCAATAAAAAGATGAAGTCGTTTCCAACAGGACAATGTGAGCATTAGATGTGGAACAGAAAGAGCTATAAGCAAAGTTCTAGTGCATGTAGTATTATACAGATTTGCAAGTCAGTTTAGGCCTGATGAGATATGATGGACTGATGTGCTGTTTTTCATGTAATAAGAACAGAATGCGCAGTGGCAATGTAAACTTCCTCACACTGTCCAGCCAATGTACTTTATCACTGGTTTCTGGGGGTTGTTTAGCAATACAGATAATGGTCAGATAGGAAGTGGACCACCAAGTGATAGTAACATAGTGCAAAGAGTCTTTATAAGTTAATGATTTTCAATCACCACCCAAAGACCTGGATTTAAACCCATATGCTAGAGATGAAAAACTTCATGTATTATTGTTTTCTTTACAGGCATTTGGTTTCCTATAATTTTCTTAAATTACTACAGTAAGGGGTCAAGAAAACCAACTACTTTTTCCCCCACAACCAACTTAAAGGCTCTTTCCATATGATTTGTAATAAGTCTTTTAAAATGATATTAGTGCTTTACTAATTTCTTGAACTATTACCTTGTATTCTGCAGGTTGTTCATATGTAGTAAGAATATATAATTCATCATTTCTGTGCTCAATATGGTAAATAACCCCTTTTGTTCGCTGTTGTACAAGAACAGGTGATTTAAAAGGATGGCTACAGTCAACCAACCAAACTTCAGAGGTAGTCTTGCTGTTACTGTTGATAGTGAGAAAACGCCTATCCTTTGTGCAACATATATCCACAAAAAATCTGTAGACGAAAAATAACAGCCAAAAGAATGAGTTTATTATGTATTTTTACCAAACTGGCAAACTCACCTGCTCAAATAGGTTTGGTAACAAATTGCTATTGGGGCATGTAGGGGGAGAGGGAAATTGGTGTTTGTCATCCATATACATTTGTACTCTCCATGTATATTTATGGAGAGACCAGAATTTCTACAATTAGAAAAAGAAAGGTAGAATAAGGAAATAAGCTTCGGGCAACTATAGGCCAGTCAGCCTCACCTCCATCCTTGGCAAAGTCTTTGAAAAAATTATCAAGGCTCACATATGCGAGAGCCCGGCAGGACAAATTATGCTGAGGGGAAACCAGCACGGGTTTGTAGCAGGCAGATCGTGCCTGACTAATCTAGTCTCTTTTTATGACCAGGTCGCACCCAGAGAGTCGCGGTGGATGGGTCGGTTTCGACCTGGAAGGGTGTGGGCAGTGAGGTCCCGCAGGGCTCGGTCCTTGGACCGATACTCTTTAATGTCTTCATCAGCGACTTGGACGAGGGAGTGAAATGTACTCTGTCCAAGTTTGCAGATGACACAAAGCTATGGGGAGAAGTGGACACGCCGGAGGGCAGGGAACAGCTGCAAGCAGACCTGGACAGGGTGGACAAGTGGGCAGAAAACAACAGAATGCAGTTCAACAAGGAGAAATGCAAAGTGCTGCACCTAGGGAGGAAAAATGTCCAGCACACCTACAGCCTAGGGAATGACCTGCTGGGTGGCACGGAAGTGGAAAGGGATCTTGGAGTCCTAGTGGACTCCAAGATGAACATGAGTCGGCAGTGTGACAAAGCCATCAGAAAAGCCAATGGCACTTTATCATGCATCAGCAGATGCATGATGAATAGACCCAAAGAGGTGATACTTCCCCTCTATCGGGAGCTGGTCAGACCGCAGTTGGAGTACTGCGTGGAATTCTGGGCACCGCACTTCAAGAGGGATGCGGATAACCTGGAGAGGGTCCAGAGAAGGGCCACTCGTATGGTTAAGGGCTTGCAGACCAAGCCCTATGAGGAGAGACTGGGGCACCTGGACCTCTTCAGCCTCCGCAAGAGAAGGCTGAGAGGTGACCTTGTGGCTGCCTATAAGTTCATCACGGGGGCACAGAAGGGAATTGGTGAAGTTTTATTCACCAAGGTGCCCCCGGGGGTTACAAGAAATAATGGCCACAAGCTAGCAGAGAGCAGATTTAGACTGGACATTAGGAAGAACTTCTTCACAGTTAGAGTGGCCAAGGTCTGGAATGGGCTCCCAAGGGAGGTGGTGCTCTCCCCTACCCTGGGGGTCTTCAAGAGGAGGTTGGATATGCATCTAGCTGGGGTCACCTAGACCCAGCACTCTTTTCTGCCTATGCAGGGGGTCGGACTTGATGATCTATTGAGGTCCCTTCCGACCCTAACATCTATGAATCTATGCTTGTTGGTTCCTCACCAGCTGTGGACACTGTATCGACTCAGCAAAGATTCCATAGCTCAGACTAGCAGACTGGCCCTTAAAAGCAGGAGTCAGCAACATTTTCTGGTGGCAGGTAGAATGACCAAGTGGGCCTCAAGTGGGCCAGGATTAGCAACTGGCCGCCACCACTGCTTCTCCCTGCTGCTCAACTGCAACATGACGCAGGTCCACTAAAGCGCCTATCATGAGGCCCAGGAAGAGCCTGACTGTGGCGCAACCCAGACAGAGCTCCCTCTCTGCCAAAACCTTCAACATCTGGGTGTGGCATGGTGTGAGCAGAGCTTCCTCCTGGCCCCCTGTTGAAGCCAGGGCTCTGCAGGCTCCAGATAAGGCCCATGAGCCATCAATTCCTGACCTCTGTCCTCAAGAAAGCATGGGGTCAGATCAAAAAGCATGCCAGTTAATTCACAGAAGTCTGAGGCCAGGATTTTTCATTTATGTTACAAGTCAAGGCAAGCTTCTTAGAGATATTAGACTACAAATCTAAAGGAGTTCTGCGTCGAATATGTGAAAATAACACAAAAACATTTTGTATTGCAGTCTCCCACAAAGAAATAATTTTGCTATGAATTACATTATAACATGAGCCTTTACACTCAAGTTTGCTGTTTGAGCTACAGTAGTGACTGTGACCCTTACAACTGTGTTAACAATTTCCTTGTGGGAAAGTGTCTAGTCATGCAACTCGTCCCCTGTGATCCTGCCACTTGACTTTGGGTTTTGTATAACTGGAGGAACCAAATGCCATTGGGGAAAGACTCAGTTTTTTCACGGCAGTTGTAGTGTCAGGCATGCTCCCATTAAAAAAAATTCCTTATTGATAAAGTCAGTCAGTAAAACAAAACCAAAAATGTATTTATGATGTACTGTATAAAGCCATATTTGTCAGAAAGGCTACATCATACTATGCAACTGTACTAGTTCTACACATTACTTAGGAGTAATCTTGTCTTTCTAAACTGTTGCTTCAAAGAAGTTCAGTCAACAAGCTGAACCCTGGGAACACTATAGTATATTGATTTTATTGATCTGCTACTTGTAGCAAGAACTGGCCCAAACATTTTTATACTTTTTAACTGATGTAAAAGATGTTCCTAGGAGGGGAACTCAACCCCCAACAACCTGATTTACGCTATATGGAACTGTCAGACTTTCATTGAAGGACACCTTGACCTGAGACTGATCTTGACATTTACAAACTCAGCTAAACAGTTAGGGCACTTTTACATGTGCTCTGGGTGTTGGGGGTGGGGGCAAGAGCTGCTCTAATTAAAGCACCACCACATCTCCTGTATCAGCATCCCCACACTTAAAAATGGCAGTGGGAGCGCTTGAACTAAAGCTTATTCAACAAGCTTTAGTTCAAGCACCACTGCCACCATTTTTAAGTGTGGGGACGCTGAGACACAAGATACAGGAGGCTGCTGGAGTGCAGCAATTGCCACGCTCCAGCAGACTCAGTTCATCAAGTCTGCTCCAACCTGCTGGAATTCCAGCACGTCAGAGCAGCCTCTATGCTCGTGTACAGGTGCCCTTAGGTAATACAGAACAGTTAAATCTACGGTGATCACCAACCTCACAAAGGAGAAAGCATGTTCTTTAAGCACAAATTGTAAAAGAAACAGTAAAACGTGAGTTGAAAATGATTTAGCAGCAAGTTTGGAAAAAATGTATTTCCTTCATTTTTACATATCAATATGATCATTTAATTATTATAACCAACAAATAAGGAAATGCTTATTATGTTTGACTAGAATGATTACCTTGGATCTTGTTCTGTGTAAACTAGCTCAGTATGTTTTGTATTAGTCAAAGTGGTCAGAAACACATTATGGCATACGAGGTTTTCTTGACTGGTGTAAAACAGAACATTATTTGTAGCCCATTCTGAAAAACAAAAAACATGCATGTGAACCACCCCACCGTATGTGGTGTTATTGATGAATGAATTAAATCTTTTGTCTTTGTCCCAAAGCAAGTTTTAAAGATGATTTGTAGAGAAGCTTGATTTTGAGAATCTAAATGAAATCAATTCACCTAAAAGGCAATAAGTTGCTCCTCAAAACCTTTAAACAAGAGACCATTCAAGCTGCAGTCTCCCACCCATGGGGATATGTGGAACACCCTGGTGGCTGGAAGACTGCATAAGTTGTGGTCTCCCAGTCACTGGAGCTTGCTTCTTGCTCATGCAGGGGAAGCCCTAGATCGAACTCCCTCTGCACCGGTAATATGGCATGATGGGATCTGATTTGTCATCCTACAATCACATCTCCTGCTATATACACGCAGGAGGTGCAACTGTGTAGATGGCACATTAGATCCCATCATGCCCTTACTTGCACATGTAAAGAGGCCCTTTATGACAAAGGCATAGGACTGGGAGGGACCTCTTGCCTCATGAAGTCTACTCTGCTCCTATCATATGCACCATCTCATGTAGCCTTTTCACAAATTTCTCACGATACATCCATAAAATCAGTTAGGCTTTTTGGTCGCTACTATTGTAATTGGAAGGCTGTCCCAAAACATGATTTCTGTGTTGTTTAGGAACATTCTTCCAGTTTTCAGCCTAAATGTAGTTGGGGATAATTTACCAAAATGTGAATACATGGGCGGATCCAGGATTTTATAAAGGGAGGGTAGAAGGGCGGTGCCGGAGCAGCAAGTGGTGCTGCAAGGGAGGTTGCAACCCCCATGCCTACCTTTCCCTCCTCCCTGCAACCAGGATGGGTAGACTATACCGCAGAAGCAACAGCTAATTTTTTTTTAAGCCCCTGTGTCAGATAAGAAACCAACCCCCCACTCTAGGCATCCTCTTCCCTTCCTCAGCAACATCTCTCTTCCCATCCCCTTTTCCTCATCTGACACTGCAATTGTCTTAGGATGCCCTGGGGAGACGGGAGGAACTCCAGAACCACTCCTGCCCTGCTCCAGCCAGGCATCATGGGGAGCTGAGCAGGTTCCCCCTCCCTGAACCTGCTCTTGGACTGGCAGGGAACACCCAGGGGGTCCCAGCAGGAAAGGGAAACTCACCCACTGTTGCTGTTGCCCCTGCCTGAACTTGGCTCCCTGAGCAACCTAGTTGGGGAAGCTCTGCACCTCACCCGTCCCTTAGGCCAGAGGCAGCAGGGACAGTGGCAGCAGTGGGTGGAGGATGGAAAGAATGGGAGGGGGAGGTGTGTGAACATGGATGAGAAGGAAGGAGGGGAAATTCTTACCTTATTTGAGGACTTAAAAAATGTCCCCAACTGCTGCTCCTATGGCATGGTCTGAAAGGGTGGGAATAGGGAGTGGGGGGAGGGGGCCATGCCATTGCACCCCTTCTGTATCTGCCCCAGTGAATAGTCACACAGTACAAAGATAAAACAAGCTTTATGAGTTTGATTGTTTTAAGTGCTAATTTTAAAAAAAATAAAGGATAGCCATGTTAAAATCAGTTACTTTAAGCAGCACTCTATGGAGAAGAATGTTATCATTTTATGGAGTCTACATTGTTTTTACAAACTACTTACCAAAGCTAAACACATTTGGGATAATTCTTTCTATCACGGGTAACTTATCAAGTTTCATAATAATACAGGTTGACTCTTCAGAATTTGAGCTTTTAATGCTGGTAGCCATATACCTTTCATCAGGGGAAATTCTGAGGCGTTGAATGAAGGCATCATGAAAACAAAGATCTTCAGTACTAAGTAAAACTTCAGCACTTCCTTTGTCTAGTACATAAAGGAGTACAGATAACAGACAATGATAAACTAAGAAGTAGTTCAATTACTCATATTTGTTTATATTCTGCTACTGATAACCACAAGTGTCTTTGAGAATTTATTAGCACTACATGTATATTTTAACCTTATAAACAGCTCAAAATGTAGAGATAATTTTGCACTCTTCCCAGACAAAAAAGAAGCTGCAGTTGCTATTTTTAATTTTATTTTTTGGCAAAGGACTAGGTTTCTAGAGAAGAGTCAGACATTTCAAATACAATGTGTGCATTTAGTGGAAAATATACTCTCTCAAAATTAATAAATGGGAACACTTTGGCCTTGTACCAATCAGGGAGTTTCGCTGGAAGGGGTGGGGTGGGTTGGGGTGGGGATGGGCGTTCCAGAAACATAGGGGGATGTGAAATAAGAATTGAGACTTCCACGATAAACATAACTTTCACTACTAACGTCATGACTTTTGTTAAATGTTAAACTAGTATGTATGGAAGGTGTAATACTCTGATTTCAAAATATGAAAATACAGTAGGGATAGGCTGCTATAACGGTTTAGCTGTTGCATTTTAAGAGTGATACTGCAGAATGAAGTGAACTAGAGAATAGCGTGCTTCTTTCTAGATATAGGATTCTGACACTAATTATTTTTATAACATTTATTGTAAAAGATTTTATCATAGAAGATAGCATTTGACCTCTTTTTGTTGTATGTGTTCTTTTTTATTTTTTGTAACTGGAATGGTTAAATTTGAAACTAAGCATCCTGAAATATCAGTGCACGCAGCATTTTTTTTTAACACTTATGTCTAAATGGCAAAAGAAATATCTTACCTCCATCAGCTACTGAACGCAATATGCAGCCATTTTCTTCAAAGTAAACAAAATTCCCAAATCTAATCTGTTAGGTGCAAAACGGACACATTGCAAATACATTTAATTCACAATTAAATGTTGGACAGTTACTAGGGATCAAAAATATTTCCTAAAAAGAATGTTTTTAACGACAGTTATACCCATCATGAGTAGGTATATAGTTTCATGTATAAAAATCTAGTTCAGCATCATATGAAATCATTTTATATTTTACATTTTATATTTTATAGACGACAAAAATATGAGAAGTGTCCGATATCCTGAAAGTTTGTTAGCCTTATTCAGACAAGCAGAAAGAGGGAATTATGTATAGGATAATAAGCTACAATTTTTTCAGCAAATACAATCGTCATAATAGAGAAGACATTTACTTTGATTACATAAACAGTAGGCATTCCCCTAATAACAGCTGACTTCAAAAGAACACTCACATAATTAAAGTTATTTAAGCAAGGACTGAACCCTAGTTCTTGAAGTAAACACATACTTATGACAGAGTTTTATCGGTTTAGAAAAGGGATTATATGAAGTGGCTGCCTGAGACAGCAGGGGAAAGGACTTGATGACCCAAACGTTCCCTTCCAGTCCCTTATACATACATACATGCAAAATATAAAGCATGTGAGTAGTTCCACTGAAATAAATTACAAAAAAAAAAACAAACCACACAAGAAAATAATTTGCCAATTTGGGTTCAAGGGGACAACTCTTATGCCTAAAATTGAATTTGTACACAAATGTTTTAAGGACCAGGGCCCAAGCTCTAATCCTATGAACACTTCCTCAAGAAGCCCAATTGATTTCAATGAATCTACTTAGTTTAGGCAAATTAAACATGTATAAGTGGGATCATGGCCTAACAGAGCAAAGGTCTTCCAGATGATAGCACTTTCATTAGTACATGGAATTGAATCCCCACAATTCATTTCCCTCCTTTTAATGAATGGCTGAAAGCACTTATGTATTATCATACACTTCCCTGAGATGGTTGTCAGAAAGTCAGCTTAACTGTATCTTGTTTGTTACTACAGGTTTCCCTTGCTTTATGAGGGTTCTGTATGTACGAATTCGCTATGCGATGACCCTTTTTATACCAAAAATTGTTATATGCGAAGTAAATTCACTCATGTGACTGGTGTAGTGGAAACCCACAGTCAGCTGCTTTCTGCGGTGCATTGTGGGAGTGACGCGCACCAAAATATAGTTTCCTGTGTGGATCAGTGCTCCTCGCTTGTTGTCTGTGACACGTTTCTGTAGTTGCCATCCCCATTATGATGGTGTCCTGTGCTTGTGTGTACTGTCTGCTGCTGGTGAGTACCAAAATTGTGTTGTAGAAGTGGTAGAAATGGATCTGGGGGTCAGTACAGTCAAGTTCTTGGAACATATCCCTATTTATTCCATTGTAAAGTGGGTTCCCTTTATGCAGATTTGAGTTATGCACCGTCTTCCAGGAATGTGTGTACAGCATAAAGCAAGGGAAACCTGTAATAACAATTATTGTTTGTGGGATGGCTTACCTAGAGAGCAACCACAGCTGTGATACCCAACAGACATATGCCAGACTATTTTGTAATAGTCCGTAGTGAGCTAAATATTTAATAAACATGACTGTACACACAAACAACTTAAAAACAAGAACAACAGAATTTCCTAACAGGACTAGTTTTATCCAGTTATTTACTTACTGCTTATTTGTATGGAACCACAACACATTTTTAGTATTCTTTTTGCCACTCACCATTGGGCGGTCTTGATTGAATGTATACTTGTCATAGAATACTTCTAATTTCTGTTTGATTTTTTCTGCCATATCCTTATATCTTGCTGACATTACTTTCCAGTTTTCCTGCTCTGATTTTAGAAGATCCTGGTATGAATATAGTAACAGCTGTGATTTAAAATTTGAAAACTATAACTGGATTTTCTCATTTGCCAGCGTCACTTGGCTTCATTTATGGAGCACAACACCAACCATAGCTGGGTACAGACTGACTGTTGGTAATTAGTCTCCCACAAAGTCTTCATTTGCACAGTGCATGATAAAAGGTAAAATAGGGCAGAAGCTGCCTTAAAAAAAAACAAGTCTTTGCAAATGGCTTTGTAAACTGACTTTTTTAAGAGGAAAAAACATTTCTGTCTGAAAACATGTTATCTATTATGTGCTACATAAGTAATCTTTATGTTTTAATGTTACAGAAAGAGAAGTGTTCTCTATTTTCAGTTTATTATATGCAACTGTGTAAATCAGTTCCCCTATATAGTAGCTACTTGGGCTTTTACTCTACAGTCTGATTTGTATAAGCTGAAAAGAGTGGCAGCAGACTCCATCGTGGGACTTAGCATCTCCTAGGTCCCCTGTTCTGTACGTGTGTGTAGTGGGGAGTTTTGTGGGGGAGGGTGTCTTTCATACAGCAGTTAGAGATGACATTTTAAAAAAATAGGAAAATGCATCTCTGTACAACTAGAAAATTTGGCAGGGGAACAAAAGGCCAGGCACAGGATCTGAAACTATTTTACATAATTTCTTTGAAATTGAGTGTGTAACTACAAATAATAATATGCATACAAGCAAGCCACCCTCTGTGGCCTGGGAAATCTTCCATGCCAAAGCAATAGAAAGAAGCAAAATTATCCAATGTGCTGCTGACCAATATTCACTCTCAATACTTGCCTTGTTTTGCTATGTTTTGCATCACCTACACAAAGCTTAAATGGGTGGTTCTCAACGTTTTTAGACTCAAGGCACCGCTTGATAGACTTGAGACACCCCTAGGAAAACACCAGCTCCTACTTTTCACTTGCTTTTTAATTACAGAAAAATAATCTAGTCATTCTTCTGTTGCAAAGAACTCAGAATGATCCTAACAAATCAGAATGCTTTTAAGACGATGGATTCCTATTTGAAATCTCTGGGATTATCTTGCGATTCATGTTTGTACACCTCGGTGCTCACATTGCCTGGCACCCTGCAGGAAAGGTATCAAGGCACCTCAGGGTGCAGCAGCAGCCTGGATGAGAATCACAAACTGAGGAGACCGGAATGGAGATTCCTCGCCTACCCGCTGCCTTCTGGCTCTCTGCAGGTCCAGCCTGCTGCCTTTTTCTGGAGGAAGCTTGGATTTCAGAAAAAAGCCATGGCACCAAAACTGACACAGGTGCCAGCTGAGATGAAAATGGCGCAGAAGCTGCCAGGCTGAACACAGTAATTCATCTGTCAGGATATCTTGAGACCCCAAGCCCTATCCCCCTGTGTCAGGGCCTTCACGCTTGCGATTCCCAACCTGGGTGCTGCAGCACCCTGGGCCACCTTGCAATCCTCTCAAGGGTGCCGTGTCCTGGTAGCACTCCAAGGTGATTCACAAGCAAAACCCAATGGGGCTCTGAAGCGCTCAATGACTTCAGGCCAGTCAGGGCCACTTGAGCTCTTTGCCATAAAAGCCTTGCTGGTAATTTTCCATGGGCAACGCTAGGTGGGAAGGAAGCAGTGTTGCCAGGAGTACAATAATTATCATATTTGTACAATAAGTTCAACCTTTTAAAACGTACGATCAATAATAATGGAAGTGTTCAAAATGTACGATATTTTTTGAGGCAGCTAACTGATGCAGCATATGTAAAACCCAAGTTGCTCTCAGGGAGTCTTAACTGACTTTTGGGTTTGGTTTTGTTTTAATAATATATTTTGTGATCCAGGTCAAATTAGCCAAATCAGTTCCAAATCCTATCAACTGAGCACAGCTCAATCGTTCAAGTCCATGTGGTGCTACCACCGATGCTACCAGCCTGGGGCCTCAGATACTTCCAAATCCATTGGCAGGCATCCCATGTGCAGGCCGTAGGTCCTGTGGTTCAGGTGCCCCCGATACCACTTGATCTTAGCAAAAGACTTTTGGGTTTGCTGTCAGCACTTCCTTATGACTGCTTGCCTCAAAACAAAGAACTGCTTCAATTTTGATGACCCAGTTCTCACTCACTCACTGGCAATTTATAGCAAAGCTCAATCATTCGAGTCTGTGTGATGCTACCACCAGTGACAAGCATCAGCCTGGGGCTTCAGAAACTACCAAATCCATTGGCAGCAAGTCTGGAGGTCTTGTGCTTTGGATCCAGTGCTGTAACAACGAAGTTGGGCGTCTAGGGCAAAGCCCACAGTGGCATCCGGCCCTTGCCCTGTGCACAAATCCAGGGGGCACCCCCACCCCCCATGCTTGCCCGGGAGCGCACACAGCGGTGGGAGCCACCCTTCCCCTGTCCCCACAAACAAACCGCTCGCAGCTCTGTCCCGCACCCCTTGGCACCCTGCTTGCCCCTCTTGCTATGGCACTGTTTGGATCCCCCAATCCACTTGATCTGAGCCAAAGACTTACAGTGAGCTACATAAAATAAACCAGAAGACTGATCTGCCTACTTATTTGCACTGTACTTTGCATCTTTTTCCCCCCAGCGCACTCGAGTTTTTCAGCAAGTACGATCATTTTGAGCTTGCAACACCAACATTTCCTATTGAGGACCTGGCAACTGCAAAAAAAGCCCTGGCCTCCTTCTCCAGGGGACGGCCGGCACTCCGACACACCCCCACGACGTGGCCCGTCCTCTGCGAGGCAAGAGACACCCAATGCCAGTAGGAGCTGCCTCTTTCCAAGGAGGCCCGAGTCCGAGACCCCCAGCTCCGCTGCGGCACGCCCGCCCGCCCCGTACCTGGCCGCGGAGCCCCGCGCGGTGGATGCGGCAGAGGCGGGCGGGCGGGCGCAACTGCACGTGCAGCGCGCGGAGCAGGGGCCGCAGCATGGCGCGCGCGCCTCCCCTCAAGATGGCGGCACTCTCGCGAGCGCGGGGGACATTCCTAGGAAGCTGAGCGCTCCTCCGCCATCTTGAGTTGGGGCAAGCCCCAGGATAACAACCTACTGCTTTATTTTTTTTCCTTTGGTAAATGTGGTGATGCCTGGGGCAGCCTGGAAAAATCGTGCCCCGTCCCCACTTCCTTTTTTAAAGTCACTTTAACTTCAAGAGGAAAAACGGCCAGCTCTTACGGGCACGGTGCCCCCGCCCGGGAAGAAAACATGGGGGGGGG